TTAGTCAATAGAAAAAATTAATATCAAATTTGGTCACTACAATTACTAAAACTGGACACATTTAGTCACTCGCCGTTAGTCTCCGTCCAACTCCGTTAATGAAGTCCGTTAAGTGATGATGTGGCAAACAGAATTGCCTAATCAGCCGGATATAACCCAACAAAAATAAAACCCGACCCGCCCCGTCATTTAAACCAACCCAACCCAACCCCACCCAACCCTTCTTCCTCCTTCTTCTCACCTCCTTCTTTCCCCAAAAACCACCGTCCCCTGCCGCTCTCCTCCTTCCTCCCACCACCTTCCAACCCACACAGAAAACTAAAAAACCCCCTTTCCCACTTCTAGCAACCAAAAGAAAGTATTATTAGCTTAGCTATCAAAGGAATCCAAGCCAAATTAGAAATTGAGTTCTAATTTCAATTAAAATTTGTTTGTTTCCCTGTACAAGCTGCTCAATTCACGATCAAACACAATTGGGGGGAAAGGCAAATTAAAGAACACCTGAACGGAATACTTGACAGCGAGGCTAGCAACGGAATCCCCTCTGACAATCTTGTGCGAGACGGCGAATTTCCCGATCCCGTTGTCCCTCCAGAACCCGCCGGAGCCAGGCTTCCCGACGACCTCCTTCAATTTCCAGGGAGCCATGAAAGCCCGCCTCGTAATCTCGTCATCGGAGGCCACCGCGTTCCATGCCCGGGAAACGCAGCTGGCTCTGGCGAGGTCCGCCACGGGGAGCCTCTCCAGGATGAGGCGGAGGGTGTCGCGGCAGGAGAGGGCGGAGAAGTTGGAATTCATCGGGGAAATCGAGTTTTAGAACTTGATGTTGGAGAAGGTGAGAAGTGGGAAAGGGGTTTTTTTGGTTTTCTGGGTGGGTTGGAAGGTAGTGGGAGAAAGGATGAGAGCGGCAGGCGGCGGTGGTTTTGGGGAAAGAAGGAGGTGAGAGGAAGGAGGAAGAAGGGTTGGGTGGGGTTGGGTCATGGGTTGGGTTGGGTTGGGTTGGTTTAAATGACGTGGCGGGTCGGGTTTTATTTTTGTTGGGTTATATCCGGCTGATTAGGCAATTTTGTTTGCCACATCATCACTTAACGGACTTCATTAACGGAGTTGGACGGAGACTAACGGCGAGTGACTAAATGTGTCCAGTTTTAGTAATTGTAGTAATCAAATTTGATATTAATTTTTTCTAATGACTAAATATGTCCCGATTTTGTAATCTCAGTGACCAAATGTGTCTTTAACCCTATTCCATATTTTTGTGATTTTGGAGAGTTGCAAGCAGGTTGCTGTGGAGGTGTGAGCCATTATTATTAGGCCATTGGCCTCCGTTGATCATTTCCACAGGCCGTAGCCCAAACCACCGACGGGTCTTTGTCATTGAGCCCACGAAGCGTGGTTTTGTCAGTGTTCTTCCCAATTATGGAAATGGTCCATCCGCGGCTAGCTAATGACTCCATTTTCTAGCCTAACAAGTTTCCTTTTCATGCGAGCAGTATGATAATATGATATTCAAAGTGCTTTTTCCAGGAAGGTCTCGTCGCTTTCAGAACATACAATACGATACTAACCTAAAACGTTATAGCTTGTAGGGTGTGAAAAGAAAGAAAGAAAGTGGAAGGAAACAAGAAGGGGGAAATGATGGATCGGATCCTCCATGCAAAGCCCAAATTCGGAGTTGGTAGGTATAAAGACTCAACCTTATACAACGTCTCATCCAAAAACTTTCAAAAAATACTGATTTATTGGATGAGACGTTGAGGTATAAGACGTGCTATTTTTAATATCTCAAAACAAGTCATCATTATAAAATATCTCGTTTGTCGAAGAGATATTTTAGCATCATAATATCGACATTCGAAAGTGTTATTATATTTCAATGTATATCTTTTTTATATATATATATATATAATGAAATGTGGTGGATATTAGTTAATTAGAAAGAAAGGTAGTCACTGTCTGGTTTACTACAACTACAAGGACGTTCAAGGGCATGAATGAAAAAATATACAAGGGGTGGCAATCATCAATAATGCAACAAAAGGTTCATTGAAAGAAAGAAGAGTCCCAACAGAACAGACATCCCAAGTTGGTCCCAGAAGCATAAAATAGTTGGGCCTGGACCCATCTTGAAATCTCTATTATGTCATTATTTTTCTTGGGCTTAATTGCAAGTTTGATCACTCAAATTGCTACAAATTTCACGTTTGCCACTCAAATTGATTTATTCCATTTATATTCACTAAAAAACGACGACCCGACCCGCCACGTCATATTTACCTGCTATGTCAGTCCTACTTGCCCAACCCGCGAACCAACCCAATAATTGACCCAACCCCAAATCCAAGATCCAACCCCCCTGACTTTCAACAAGCTTAGAGTGATACAATCTGTAACGGTCGTTGTATTATTTTTTTGAACCCTTCGCATTGTGTCTCATTTCAATCAGAAAAATAAAAATAAAATTGAATTGTACTAAGTAACACATAATTAAAAAAAAAATGCTTTATTCCCCCTATCTTCTTGTATCTTGTCTTATACATACTATCTTATAGTTGTTCGACTTCTTCTTTACTTTTTAGCAATTTTTGTACCTAAAACTTAATAGTTACATTCATTTTTTCATGTGATGAAAGCAGATTCGTCAGTGGTCCTTGGGCGAGCTTGTCGAACCCATACACCGATAATAATAATAGCAATTCGTAAAGCTGGATCGGTTTAGACAGAATCGAGGCTACTGATTTGGTTTTATTGAGAAGAAGGTACTTTGCTGCAGCCAAAACTTAGATCTCAGTTATAGTAGAATTATTTATTGTGTCGAGGGATCTGAATCTGGCAGCGACAAACAATATAATTACAAACGTGGGGAGGAATGGAGCAGCCAGCAGCCACGACCAATCAAGGCTGATGCTGCCATCTAAGTATGTTGGGCAATCATATCAATCAGGTTCAGGCAGGAATGAACTTACACTGAAACTTCAAAGTTATATTTTTTGGGCATGAATATGATGGAATGTTACCGTCTGTTTGACTACAATTTTAGTACCTAACGAAAGTACCCAAGTATACGAAGTCATCACATCAATCATATCAATCAGCCAAATGAAATTTATCTCCCAGCCTTTTTACCATTCCAAATATACGAAATCACCACAAATTTAGAGCCTTAAGTGATTCTAATCTTGTTCTTGATAAACCTCGTAACTGAAAAGGTTGATTATCAATTTTTACTGTTTGGTAGGGATATCAGCAGGAGTGGAGGGCGGTCGGTTCGGTTATAACCGAAAACCAAAGACTCGGTTATCGGTTAACCGAACCACCTCTCAAACCCACCGACAGAAATAAGGCTCAAGGTTTCGATTAACCGAACCGCCTTCTAAGACCAAAACCATCCCTTCCAGTCTCCGAACACCGACCGACTTTCGATTATCTCAGTTTTCGGTTAGTAGATAACCGGCTGATTTCGTTTGTAACCAATCGGTTAATCGCTAACTGAGAACCGATTGTCCAGCCCTAGATACCGGTTCTTACTTGTGAAATTTTTACTTGCTCAGCTGAGAAGGACGTGGAAATTAAGTGATAGTATTTAGGAGGTGCAAAACTCAATTTTATATGTCAAGAACACGAATTTTGCATAGATATCTGTCCTGATCTGGCTTTTTAAGCAACACGTGCTTTGTTACCAGTTTATGATAATAATAATTAATAACTATTCTAATTTCTAAATGCAACGGAACTAGTTGCAATCTGGGTAGTAGGGGTGGGCATTGGGTGGGTCGGGTGGATTTTGACCATAAAATGCACCCATCCGCGTTTAAACGGATTGATAATTTTTAACCCACCACCCACCCACATTTAGCCTCGGGTTGGGTCGGGCGGATGGTGGATGATTTGGGTGGGTTTGTGGGTTCACCCACAACACAATGTATATAAAGGAGTCAACTTGACATGATAATAGGCGAAGGGAGTTATATGGGGAAACAAGAAGATGAAATATGGCGAAAAATGTCGAATTAGTTCTTAAAATGGATAGAAATTCTATGATGAGAGAGTTTTCTACAGATTGAGATGATTATCAGATGCAAGGAACTAAGAAAAATAATTCCACAAAGGAAAGAGCGGTGATCTAGGCACAAAAATTAGAGGAAAAAATAAAGGGAAGAAGAGGGGATCGCTATTTGGAAGGTTGGCTTTGAGGTTCAAACTCCAGGAGCAGTCCTAGTTTATGTCTAACGTCTTCACTCTCCCCTCTCTAGCTCCGACGACTTTGATCTTTTTGCTGTTGGGTTGAGCGGGTCACCCGCGCACCCACCCACAACCCACCCATCACCCGGCGGATGGCTCCCAGCGCAACCCGTCACCCATCCATAGACCCACCCACTTAACGAAATTCGGGTCAAATGCGGGTGGGTCGGCCCAAACCCGCGGATGATCCGCCCGTATGCCCAGCCCTACTGGGTAGTAGGTAGGTACCGTCGTTTTGCTATAATTGAATATCCCTATCCCTTTTTCGGTATTTTATTTTATGTATCTCTATTTTGGGTGCCAAATTACGGGGATGTACAACTCATCATTAGTCACTGATGACAGAATAACTAGTAATTTTACGTAAAATAAAAATCCACTGAATACGATCGTAGTGAATAATTTAACTATGATTAGCCATCGCTTATCAGTTTCCATCAAATAATGCGTTGCACCAGTGTCTCTGGTAAAAAAAATTAGAATAATAATAATAACTCAGGTCACTGTCGTGGTGTTTTAGATTGTAAAAATGCATTTATATTAGTTTAATCCCGCAATTCAATAAAAGCTGAATGCAGGTTCTGATCAAAAAAAAAAAAAAAAAAAAAATCCCGCAATAAAACCTGATTAGTAGTACGGAGATCTAATTAGTAATTATTATTTACGTAAAATCAATTATTAGATACGTATTTGTTTGGTACTTCTCTTCTCACTGTCACGGAACTAGCCACTAGCCAGCAGCAACAAACAATACCGAAGCCCACCTTTTGTCCACCTTCTTCTTCCTCTCGTATATCCAGCGCCTTTCATTACCGTGGCTCGTCGGAATCTCTGACCTTCAACCTTTTGCTGGATCCCCAGAGAACCTTTCCCTGCCCCCACCCCCAATTCAATCATTTTCAAGAATTCCCAATTCCGTCCTCCCAAGATTCGCGATCCACTTTTTTCTCGGAAACCAATCAGGAGCCACAACAATCACCGGAAAGGACAAAATCTTTTCCATTCTCCTTTCCGCCCCCAATTCTCCAGCTCCTCCCCGTCTCTCGATCGGACTGTTTTGAGGTACTGTGAATTGTTCGTATTCGGTCGGATTTCCGTCGCCTTGCTCTCTCGTGTTGTTTCCTGCACCATTCCGTTTTGCCGCTTCTCCATTGCATTTGATGTTTCGTGCGTTGCGAGCTTCTCCGTAGCTCGTCGTCGGAGTGATTTTCTTCCTGCTTGCCGTTCCATCGTCTGTTTGGTTGCTGAGAAAATTCGTTTTTGTTTTTTCTTCTTACTTTTGTACTCTGGTGATTTGGATGGAGCATGAGCTCGATTCGGTTGCCCCCTCACTCTTTCTAGCTCCATAGAATTCTCCGTGTGAAGTTCTCGCTTCTCTGTAGTTTTCCTCTCTACCTAATGGACTCGTATAGCAGCAACCGAATGGAGTAAAGAGCCGTATCTTGAGGACCTTAGCCGTAGTTGAATTTCAATTCCAGAACTTAGTAGCTCAACCATATCTCGTTTCAGAACTGGCGGATGTGAATCTTTTCAACTCTTTTGTTACGTTATTCAAAGTTTTGTAGCTCTTTGGATATGACTGAGATCAGGACTGCGACGGAGGGATTTGATCCCCGGCGCCTGCCTAGTCAAATTTGAGCCGTTTGCATTAAACTAACTTGAGTGGCTTGAGTCTATAGGGTCAAATGGGAAACCACGCCGCCTCAGACCTGTTTAGGTTGGTGCAACCCTGACTTCCCGTGGAAGAACTCATGTCATTTTTTATGTCCTTCGAGTCAACTGCCCTTTTCTCTGTTGATCTCTACAAGTTGAAAAAGTTTCTAAAGTGACCTTAAAGTTTAGAACTTGCACTTGCGCTATACTACTTCTATGATCATTTGTATTTTATAGGCAGCATGTCCCTGAGCTGAGGGGCATGTCTTTGTTTGTAGTAGTTGGCACATGATTCTGGGTGCTTTAACCTGATTGCAAGTTCTGCCTTTCTGATATGCCATACACTGGTGTTTTTTTCTACATGTCGATGTCTTGCTTAATGTGCAGCTACAACCTAATGAAAACTTATAGTGGAGACTACTTTCTCGCTTTTGGTATGCTTTAATTTTCTCCAGCTAAAAGAACGCAACACTTTTGGACAGTAGGCTATGTATTTGTATGAGGATTCCTAAGAGGCAGAGAAAAACTCAGAAATGTTAGCTTGTGTTAAGTATTTATTAAAGAATCAGCTACACCACACGATTGGGTGAGATGTTAGGTTGATTGTTAATCTGTTATGTTTAATTATCTGGTTCACAAGAATAGAGTAACCTCTTGTTATTACAAAGCAGGTTGTGAGTTGTGACACTCATATCATTGATGTCTTTCTCTTATTCAGGTCTTGTCACTCTCTTTCATAGGTGAAGATGGTTGCCTTTGGGAAAAAGCTTAAGGAAAGGCAAATTCAAGAATGGCAAGGGTACAGATCAGTTGACATACTTTCATGTTGATGAAGTTTGTTTTATTTCTATGAATTTTATTGAGAAGTTACATCACTATAATTTTCTGTTTGGAGAGTGAAAATGAAGGATTCATCTCTTTCTTTTGACAACTTTGGTACCTGAAGTCATTCTCTTATGTCAAAAAGTTTGCAAGGGTGACAGAACTAACTCTGTTTAGTTCTTAAACACTGTGGTTATCTTTTTTTATGTGATTTCATATCATGTCTGTGCATTCTGGTACGTATTAGCAGTGTACTTCTCTTTGAGGGCTTAAAGGTTTCCAATTTATTTCTGTATTGAAATTTGCCAAGAAGCGCCCTTACCTCTTCTGATCTTTTAGTTTCCTGATGGAGTTGTTTTTTACTTTGCAGATACTATATTAACTACAAATTAATGAAGAAGAGAGTGAAACAATATGGCCACCAAATTGAAGTTGGAACACTAGACCGGCGCCATGTTCTCAAGGACTTCTCAAGAATGCTTGATTGTCAGGTACATGTTAAAACACAAGTGACTAATATCTCGAAGTGTTTCTATAGACTGGAAACTTTATGCTTCTCGTAATGGCGATCTTTGTGTAAAATTTAGATAGTGTATTCATTGATCTTCTGTTGTTTTAGATTGAAAAGATTGTCCTGTTTCTGTTGGAGCAACAAGGGCTACTTGCAGGCAGGATAGCCAAGCTTAATGAAGATCAGGATGCACTACAACAAGAGCCTGATATAGCTAAGCTATCCCAGTTGCGGGAAAATTATAGAGATGTCGGGAGAGACCTCTTGAAGCTACTTTTCTTTGTTGAAATTAATGCTGTGGGCCTGCGTAAAATCCTGAAGAAGTTTGATAAGCGTTTTGGATATCGATTCACTGATTACTATGTGAAGACTCGAGCTAATCATCCTTATTCCCAGCTTCAGCAAGTGTTCAAGCATGTGGTAATATGCCAAAGGCATTGTCATATGATTCTGCCAAGAGATTGATTTTATTTATCCAAAGTTGGAATTTGCTTCCCATATGAGTATTGTTTGACTAATTACTAGAATTACAGGGTCTTGGAGCTGTTGTTGGAGCCATATCCCGCAATCTTCATGAACTTCAGGAACATCAAGGAAGTTTCTTATCCATCTATGATCAACCTGTGCTTCCACTTCAGGTTATTGTTTGCATCATTCTGTTTATGATGACTGATGAGTTTGTGATAGCTCTCACAAGGTCAAAGACTAACAGTAAACGTATCTGTTAGCAGGATTCTGTTGTTGATGCCATGAAAGCAGCAGTTGACCGATTAAGCCACTCAACCAACTTCTTGAACTTCTTGGCACAACATGCACTTATTATGCAAGAAGAACTCCCAACCCCTACTGAGGAAATCGTTGATGATAAGAGATACCATTTTATGTCTCTTATCTTGAATCTAGCGAACACATTCCTTTATATGATCAACACCTATATCATAGTACCCACAGCAGATGACTACTCCATGAGCCTTGGTGCACCAGCAACAGTTTGTGGTATTGTGATTGGGTCGATGGCTGTTGCTCAAGTGTTCTCCTCAGTATACTTCAGTGCTTGGTCAAATAGATCATACTTCAGACCTCTTGTCTTCAGTAGTATCGCTCTTCTCATTGGGAACGTCATGTATGCAATGGCTTATGATTCCAAGTCAATAACAATACTTTTGTTAGGCCGACTTTTCTGTGGGTAAGATTCCTACAACTCCTGAAATAATACCATACTATTTATGTTTAGCATTGCTATTGGACTATCATTCATCTAACTTGGCTCAAAGGGCTACGAGGCATAAAAGGTAGGAATTACATTGTGATGTTTTTTCTGTAATGAAGGGGATCACATTATTATTTATTTAAGCAACATAAAGGTCATTTAATTGAAGTGATATTATCATGGCAAGTGATGCTTTATTGCTTTGATTTAAAGTAATCTTCTTTTACGGCAGGTTGGGTTCTGCTAGAGCTGTGAACAGACGTTATATCAGTGATTGTGTGCCACTTAAGATCCGTATGCAAGCTTCAGCAGGTTTTGTTAGTGCAAGTGCTCTCGGGATGGCCTGTGGCCCAGCTATTGCTGGCTTACTTCAAACAGAGTTTAAAATCTACAAGTTCACCTTCAATCAGAACACTTTGCCAGGCTGGGTTATGGCTGTGGGTTGGTTCTTTTATATGATATGGCTGTGCATCTCATTCAGAGAACCTTCTCGCCCAACTCAAGAGACCAAGGCAGATCCACAAACCAGTGATGGTACCACTCCTCCCTGTTCTGTGTATTTTATAGGTGGTGTCATCGTCTTTTTGTCTCAATCTAACCTAGTGGCTCTTATACCTTTGGCCGGTTATCATGGTAGATGGTAGTTACTTGTTCTCTGTATATTGTATCAATAAACAAGCTTATAACCGATGATTATGCAATTCTGTATCTTCAGATTGTGAATCTAAATTATTAATCATGGGGTAAATGTAAAGCTTGCGTGAGTGAACTACATGCTACGAGGAACTTTATGGAAGGAGGATAAACTAAATGACAAGATTTGTTTATAGATTCTTAACTTGTGATTCAAGCTTACTTTTTCCAATGAAGATGTTTCCTATAACTTGAAAATTCTAATCTATTTATTTTCTGTTACTAAAGCTCCAGTCGATTTGTATTTTACTAGGTTTCGGTTGTAATAATCTACTGTTTTCTGAATTTGGCTTATTTGAAGTTTTTTTCAAGATAAGGCTAAGATTAGCAGCAGCAGCAGTAGAAATCACTTGCAATGCCACTAATGGAATATGTAGTAATTTACAGGGAGTTTGATTTGAAAATGCCAAAAGGAAGATTATGACAATATGTCTTTTATTACACCAGATACAATACGTACAAAACCTTTTGTTTTAAATTCAACTTAATTAGTTCATAAGTTGAAACAAACAACCCCTTTATGCTGTATTCTTTGGTCCTTAGACTCTCCGTGAGATTTCAAGTTAAGCTGCTATGTTCTATATCTTTGCCTTTTGCATTATTTTGTTTGTTGATAATAACTATCTTTTGTGTGGAAAACAGAACCAGCGAGAAACGATGCTCTTGAGAAAGGTCTTCAACAGCCATTGCTACCAAGTACAGAAGCCAATCAAGATGATGAAGATTGTGGGAGTGATGATGAATCTGATGATTCTAGAGGACCAGCTAATTCAATTCGCTCCGCATATAGGCTGCTTACACCTTCTGTAAAGGTATGGCAAATGAGAGCTCTATACTTCGTGAATCTATCTATTAGTCCTTTTGAATATCATAATTGATCGTTTGATATTCCTTTCATGAATTGCAAAAAAACAGGTTCAATTGTTAATATACTTCATGTTGAAGTACGCCATGGAGATTTTACTATCAGAGTCTAGTGTCGTGACCACATACTACTTCGGCTGGTCTACTAGCTCAGTGGCAATATTTCTCGCCTGCTTAGGCCTCACTGTCCTTCCAGTGAATATCGTCGTTGGAAGCTATATAAGTAACATGTTCGAAGATAGGTATAAGCCCGTCCATTTTTCTGTGACTTCCGATATTGAGTACCTCTGTGATAGCAGCACAAAATATCATTCTGATTGCCATTTATCGTCAATCTCATTGGCAGGCAAATCTTATTAGCATCAGAGATCATGGTTTTTGTGGGCATACTCCTAAGCTTCCACATATTAGTTCCGTACAGCGTGCCACAATACGTCTGCTCAGGTCTCATTATGTTTGTCTCTGCAGAAGTACTCGAAGGTAAAAGTAGTCTACTCCCCTGCAATGTGAATTCAGTAACCTAGGTGATAAATTGTGCAACTTGGTGACTCACTGCATTCTTCTTCCAGGCGTCAACTTATCGTTGCTCTCTCGAGTCATGTCGTCGAGGCTCTCACAGGGGACGTACAACGGTGGGCTACTCTCTACAGAGGCAGGTACGTTAGCTCGTGTGGTGGCGGATGCAACGATTACCATGGCAGGTTACTTGGGGCAGAAAACACTGCTGAATGTGACTCTTCTGCCTTCCCTGATCATTTGCATAACTTCCATCCTCGCCACATGCTTCACCTACAATTCGCTGTATTGATTTTGTTAGACTTGAATGTATTCCATTAGTAAAGCCAAGCAGCCAAATTTTCGTCTTTCTCCGCCTAAAGCTCCTGTGATTACGAAGCTTTGTTCTTCTTCCCGTGCTTCTGCGTTGGATCAGTCAGTCGCCTGTATATTTGTTTAGAAACCCAGCTCCATTTATTTAATCATTTTTCTTAATAAAAAGGTAATGCTCGCCCACTCCTACTTGTACAGAGAGCCTGGACTCAGTTAATCTCTTTACTCTTACCATCCACACAGATAAAATTTTGTTTTAAACATTTCTCGAACCAAATGACCTTGCCATGGTATAACAGTAGTTGAAATAAGAGCAACCCTAACCCACATGCGGCTACCTCTGGCATAAGTAGTTGGAGTTATCTTACAATATATTAAAGGGGTTTGGAAAACCCACCCCTTCCACGTAAGCCTTCCAGGCTTCCCCGCGTTTCTCGGCATTTAGGGGTATTTTATATTTAATATATGTTTTCCTTCCTTACCTTCTCCTTTTTATTGTGATTTTGCTATTTTTTTTTTGTTTTCCGTTAAGGCATTGAGAGAGGAGAGAGATTGTCGATTGTGGAGATATGGAAAGAGTAGAAAAACTATAAGTTAATTTATTGTTTATTATTTATAATTATTAGTTAGCACTATTTATCATCCATAAGAAGTATTTATTTATCTAATTAAGAATAATTGCTTACACCAAAAAATTGTTTACACATTCAATTAATAATACAAATTGTTTTTTTAACTATTTATAATTACTATTTGTTTTAGCCATGCAAAATTTAAGAAAGTCTAAAGACTTTTGGATTTGATCCAATGTTACCTGGGTTCTCACGAAAAAACTATATATATGAGAATTTTTTTTGGTAATTTATTATATGCGAAAATTTTCCATGTGTAAGTTCTCGCTATATCATAATTTCAATATCTCAATTCTCAAGTTTAGCAGAAAAACTATCTCAATTACGAAGATATTGACGTTTGCTATGTCAATTTTTTTTAATTTATTAAGTGTAAATCCAGTTAAGAATATATAAACATGTAAGGAATCACTACTAAGATTAAAAATCACAACCAATAAGTTCCAAATCATAATTTATAATTAATTAAAAACTCCATTTATCTATACATATCCCTATGCGTACAAAATAATCTATGAATTTATCACAAGTTCACAATAAGATTAATATTATTCGAATGTGTTTTATACTTCTTAATCAGTTGTTGATATTGAGTAAATATGAGATGAATTTATGCTGAATTCTATGCTAGCAACACATATTTGTAATTACAAATCAATTGTGTCAACTTAATATATTATGAATTGAAAAAATATTTTTGTTATTATTATTAATATTAAAAGTTACCCGGCCAATATTTTTGTTATTATTATTAATATTAAAAGTTACCCGGCCAATGGCCGGGAATAATGCTAGTTTACTGTGATTTGATTTTGGCAGAAACCCTACCAAGTCACATCGTTGGCCCCCAATTATTATTATTTTTTTTTTTACCTATATAGCAGTTGAATCATTGTTCATTACCATTTTCACTTTGTATCTAATTATTTACTGTAATTACTGCTTTCTGTAACCATCCACATTCCACACAATACAAAATTATCGCCGCTGCAGATTTCGATACGAATCTAGAGAAAGCAGTTGTATGGCTTTAAATTTGGAAAGAAAAGGAGGTGCAAACTAGGTTACAACTAAACCAGGTTTATGAGTGGGATTAGCATCTAATACTACGCCTCTTGGATAGGAAGAGAGTCCCACCCTCCAAACAATCCTCCAACACCCACCCATATATCCATCCACCTCCCTTTCTTTACAACTTCCAACTAATCTTCCCTTCAACTTAGGGACAGTGGGGGAGCAAAAACCAACCAGTATTAACAAAAAAATTGGGGCTAATTTGCTTCCTCTCCTCCCATTCTCCTAACCATCTTGTTTGATGTTTTCGTGTCAAACAAGAAAGGAAAGTTAAACACCATTTATGCACATTTACAAACACTTTCCTAGTTTTGGACCCATTTCCCCAATCATTAAGCCGAGTATTTGGTACCCAGCACAGACAAAAACTCGTAGCAGCCGTCTAAATAGTTGGCACACAACACACACTCCTTCCTTCCAAGTTTGCATATATAAAAAGGCCAAGCACAACAAGCAAAGAGAAGCAAGAAACTCTGTTTTCTCATACCTTAACTGAAGCAATAGCATAAGCAGTATGGTTGGCCGTCGGAGTGCTCCCTCTGTTGCTTACTTCCTTGTGACTCATGCTCTCTTCTTCTTGCTTGCCTGCCGCCTCTCTGCCTCGCAGCAAGGTACGTGTCTTTACATCCTATAAATTTCGTCGAACGTGATGTTTGAGACGCAGATTTTTCGATATGACATTAATGTTGCAAGTTTTCGTATTTTGTTTTCTTCGTAACATTTACGATATAAGATGTTTAGTCGAATGAACCATTAGTTAATAAATTTTGTTGAATGTTTAGGGGGGAAAAAAGTCATCCATAGTCTCGTTTCAGTCAGCTAAATGTTTCATAAATTCTGAACTCTTGTTGATAAGCAGCTCGGAACTACACTTTCGTCCATGACGCGAGGACGGCGCCGGAGATATCGTACTACGACTACATCATCGTGGGAGGCGGCACGGCAGGGTGCCCGTTGGCGGCGACGCTTTCCCAAAACGCTACCGTTTTGGTCCTGGAACGCGGCGGCTCTCCTTACGGGGACCCGAACATCACCTACTTGGCCAACTTCGGGGCTCCGCTCGCCGATGCCTCCCCTTCTTCACCTTCCCAGCGCTTCATCTCCGAGGACGGCGTCATCAACGCCAGAGCCCGAGTCCTCGGCGGCGGTTCTTGCCTCAACGCCGGCTTTTACTCCCGCGCCGAAGCTGATTACATCAGGTAATTAATATCATCGACCATTAATCACGTTTGTAACTTACCCTAACGAAACATTAGTTTGTAAAATTTTCATTTTTACTACTCTTACCGTCTAGGTGAAAGCTAGAAATGTATGTCACACACCATATATAATCTTAGTGCATATCTCCGCAATTAAACTTATATGCAAATCGATATCAATCAGACTTAAGAAGACTAAAAAAATATTAGTTCATACTCAGATCATCCGATACTTTAAACTCAATAACTCTAATGTTGAAGGAACATCCACTCAGTGGCGGAGGCAACATTTCAAACCACCTTTGTCCTCTTTTCATAACTTAAATATATAAGTATCTAATAAAATAATTATTTAATAAAAAATAATTATATCCAAATAATTCATTCATAAATTAAAAAATAACAGATTATACTATCATGCTTTTCAGAAACAACTACAAAGGAATTTCATATAGTGAAAGAAGCACAAAAACATTCGTTGTCTACACTATTATATAAGTCTCTTTCAATGTATCTTACTAAACAAGTATTAGCAAACTGGTCGCCAAATCGACTTGGAAACTTGTTCTTAATATAACTCAAAGCTGAAAATGCTATTTTTACACTTGCAGTTGTAATTGGTAGATCAAAACTAGTGGGATTGCCGTTGTAGGTAGACAATTTCAGGGTTGTTGGGGAAAGATCGAATAGACATAAGGAGAAAAGAGGCCCGATTAGTTCTTTATTGCAATTGGAATTTCGTTTATTGTATAATAAATTAATTTTATGTCAATTTTGGACAAGTAATGAGTTGTGTTGTAGTGACAAAGTACTCTAATACTACCTATACGTGTTGTGTTCCATCACCAATATAAATATATATGGCGTATTTTTGTTACACCGAAATTTACCCCTGTCCCGGGACAAGGCCAAAAGGCCCGCCTCCGCCACTGCTGATCCACTATTGATAGTATCACTAAATCATACTCATATACAATGCAGTCAAAATCGCGCTTTAAAACTTAAAAACTTACGCTTTTACCTTTTTGGGTCACCACAACGCTTCCACTTAGAATCGTGATTTTTCCTTACAAATGTAGTCAAAATCTACGTTTTAAAACTTAAAAGCTTACAATTTTACGCTTCTAGGTCACCCCAACGCATCTAGGTAGAAATCGCGCTTTTGATGCTGCATTGCTCGTATATAGTCGTATTCACAATTTCACATGGCGATTATTCTTACATGGTAAAAAAGATCGAACCTTTAGGCCACATTCAGCTAAAAATGGACTGAATCTTAGAAAAGATTTGCGGAAGGTAGACATAAATGGGCTGCTTCTGCGCATTCAATTGAATGCTTGGTCAGGTCACGGGGCCGTACAATTTTTGGGTTAATGACTTTTTTTTGTTTGTGTGTGTGGGTGTGGCAGGGATGTGGGGTGGAACAGTGAGCTGGCGAAGCAGTCGTACGAATGGGTGGAGAAGAAGGTGGCCTTCCAGCCACCGATGAAGCAGTGGCAATCCGCCGTCCGGGACGGCCTCATTGACGCCGGCGTCTTGCCTAACAACGGCTTCACCTACGACCACATGTATGGCACCAAAGTTGGTGGCTCCATTTTCGACACCGCCGGCCACCGCCATACCGCCGCCGATTTGCTCGACTACGCCAACCCCGATGGCCTCACCGTGCTTCTTAAGGCCACTGCACATAAGGTCCTCTTCCACACTAGAGGTACACAAGAAGGGGGTCAAAATTTTGATAACCACTTACTTATTACTCTATTTTATACAACGATTTAATGTCTTATGTTTTCCGTATGTGATTTTCTGAATTAGATAATATCATAGAAAGAGTATTTAGGCATTACCTATTAAATATTGTTTTGTTATCATCTTAATGTTAATATACAATATTAATATAATTAGGCTAATAGTATGGATTGATATGGTTCAATATGATTTAAAATTATACTAAATTATTAATTTGATCCGTTACATTAGGTTAGACCGTAAACTAAATCGTTGCAATAGCTACATATCAAACCTTTGAGCTTAGGGTCAAACTAAAACATCCTGAACTATTGCTTCGTTTCTTTAGAAGTTGCACAATTATTATTTTTTACATAAATAGAATTTACACAAGTTAGGTGATACCTAGATTTTACATTTATTCCTGGGGTGATAATGTGAAATGTATTACGTTTTATTTGGGTTAATTATTATTATCTTACGAATATTGGCGAGTGGACAGGAAAGGCAAGGCCCACGGCCCATGCAGTGGTGTTCAGAGACTCGACAGGAGCGAAGCACAGAGCGTATCTGAACAGCGGAGCCCACAACGAAATAATCATATCAGCTGGGTCGTTGGGAAGCCCACAGCTCTTGATCCTGAGCGGAGTGGGCCCAGTCGACCAGCTCAAGGCCCACAACATTACAGTCGTACTGGACCAGCCCATGGTCGGTCAGCTCATGTCCGATAATCCCATGAACGCCGTCTTCGTCCCTTCTCCGGTACCGGTGGAGGTTTCCCTAATTGAGGTCGTCGGAATCACTCATTTCGGCAGCTACATTGAGGCCGCCAGCGGCGCCAATTTCGGCAGCTTCCCGGACAATGACTACGGCCTGTTCTCTCCCAAGGTAAGAACCCCCCAACCCACCACCCAATTTTACATAAATCTTCGTCAAATCTTGACATTTATCCCCAAATCGAGCAGATCGGTCAGCTGTCGACGCTCCCGCCAAAGCAGAGGACGCCAGAGGCCTTAGAGAGGGCAATCTACAACATGAGCAAGCTAGACAGGGCAGCTTTCAGAGGAGGGTTCATCCTCGAAAAGATCATGGGGCCAATCTCAACAGGGCATTTGGAGCTAACATCGAAGAACCCTAATGTAAACCCATCTGTGACATTCAATTACTTCAAGCACCCAGAGGACCTGGCTAGGTGCGTCCAAGGGATGTCGACCATAGAGAGGGTAATTGGTTCGAAGCCATTCTCCAAGTTCAGGTACGACACTCTGTCAGTCCCGCAGCTGCTCAACATGACAGCAACGGCCCCCGTGAACTTGCTCCCGAGGCACAGCAATTCGTCGGTGTCGTTGGAGCAGTTCTGCAAGGACACTGTGATGACCATATGGCATTACCATGGAGGGTGCCAGGTTGGTGCTGTGGTTGATCGTGATTACAAGGTGATAGGTGTTGATGCTTTGAGGGTTATCGATGGATCCACTTTTAATGCCTCCCCTGGGACTAACCCGCAAGCCACTGTCATGATGCTTGGAAGGTAAGAGAAGAGAAAGTTTGTGGAGTGTAACGAGAAATGGGTCTCCTTTGTATGGTTGTTTGGATTGTGTTTAAGTGTTTGATTGATTTGTTTGGAATGTGCAGGTATATGGGAGTTACTATGTTGACTAAGAGGCTTGCAAGTGCTTAAGAAGGCTTGGAATAAGTTCATCATCGTTGGGAAGCTGGCCAAGTGATCCATAGTAACCCTTCAAGAGAGATTGTTTTCTGTGTTATGCTTGTGAAATCGATGAACATCTTTTCCTCCCACTTTGAAGGGGTTCATATATCTAGTTCTAATTTTCTGTTGTTGTTCTCTATGATATTGGTCTTTTACTATATTAGTAGACATATAATTATTGATGTCAAGATTTAGATTTTATAAATGTTTTGAGAGCACAAAGTTAATTGTGGAGATTTTTCGGTATTAATATAGTATCAATAAATAGTAATAAAAGTTAAAAAAAAAGTTATGAGTAAGACCACCAGCATCAGAGCCTTTAATAACATTTGTCGAAGAGTGTCTAGGCTCTAGAAGGAAGAAAAAAAAAGTACTAAACAAAATAGCTCAATAGTTCACAAAGTTATTCGGCTAAAAAGATTGAGTTTGTACTTTGTAGGGGATGTTAGTTTTTCATTGATATTAACTAGCTAGCTCTATCTAATTATATCTAGACGACATTTAGGTTTAACTCGCCTTATTTCGTCGAATGTGTTCTCAATACCTAACTCATTGTGGAACTTCTAGACAAAGCGTTTTAGTATTACTCTTTAGCACATTGACGTGGTTATGCCGTATGCGGGTAATGCTTAACACACCTTTTTGAACCATGATCGTAATTATACCCTCGTTGAAAGAAGAATGCAACAACTAAATGAGAATTGGAGGGAATATGACATGGGATATGCCCTTGAAGGCTGCCACCTTAACTCAGATTTATTAGAGAGAAGAAAGTGGAAAGATAAGAGAAATGGAAAGAAAGAGCATCTCTTGCTTCCTCATATATACATCCACATTGGCTTTTCCCCCCCTCTTTTCCTATCTTCCCTCATCTCTCTCCAGTCTCCACTACTTCAGCACCAAATGAGAAAGAGTAAGGATTGTCTATATCATGCATGGTCTTGGTGGGAGGGACAGAAGAATCTCTGAAAACCATCTGTTGAGCAATATCACAACAATAGGGCTTCCCTTTCTTCTCTTTTCATTTTCTTTTAGAGATGTGAAAGATCTTGAAGGAATGGCGTGGAAAGCAGGCCAAGGAGATGTCTCAACTCTCTTACCCTAAAAAAAAGAGAGTGGATATCCAACAGCATATGCTCTGCTGCATCCCAATAATCCCTTCCCCCTGGTTTATTCTTTCTTCTTCCACAACAAAACCTTGCTAGCTATAGGCTTTCCCTTCTGTGTATAAAATCCTCTACGCCTCTCTTTGCTACATTGCCTCAAGGGCAAATCATAGCTAGTTGTGTTAGTAGTAAGTGAACTAGTCGTAGGGCTTCTCTCTTTTGGCAGGCTAGCTACTATGGCAGAGTTTTCCGGGTTTCTTTCATTCTTGATGGATGACCCGCCAAAGGAGAGTTGCCCTTTGACTTCTTCGGCTTAAGGTTCGTGTGGAGGTCATCCCACAGGCGCCATTGATGCATGGGAAATGCTTGTAGAGGTAAATTATGGAGTTAAATTATGTAATGTTCTGGTATATGGTTGTTTTGGTTGAATTAGAGTGCTTTTTCATTTGTCCAGTTAAATCTTTGGTCTTCCAACAAAGAATCATAAAGAGTAGTCAGTCATTTACTAGCCAGGGTTTGTTCTTCATACAAAGAAAGGGTTATCAGCCTGTTTACTGTGCCGATTAAACGACATTTTTACTGTTGGCCATTGAAGGATTGTGTTCTATGTGAGATATAGAAAGAGTCTGCTCATACATACAATATTTAGACTTTAGTAGATTTGGTTTAATGATTTTGATGATATTAAGTCACGAGAGATGATATTGATTAGGTTGTATATGTCTTGAATCACCTGTCATAATATAATACTCAACCATGATCATTAACAGAAATTGTTGATCATTATGAGAAAACAGAAAAGCACTATTACAAGTAAGATTGGCCTAGAGATCGAGTTTCATGTTCCCCTTTGTTCTTGGACATGCATGATTCCATTGGCCTAAAGAGAGTTTAGAATTGAGAACTACAACGTAAGATATCAAACTGAAAGTCTGTTTGAACACTCATCGCTGACTGTACACTTTGGCCCTGAGGCTGACATCCACATAAATAATGTCATGTATGCGCCGCATGCAAATGAACTCCTTCCAATTTGGATCAGATGTGGATGCCTGCAGGCTGCTGATCTAACGACTGTTTCTTATTAAATAGTCAAGCTGGCTCATTCTGGATGCGGTTCCTGAGCTGAGCCACATGATGATAACTCACAGTTCTGCATGCAGGCACCTAATTGTCACAAAACCTTTCATACTCTACAGCAGAATGTTCCATTGATATTATATACATATATATAGCTACAACACCTTTCTTCATATACAAGTTGGCAGCATATGTATATATGTTTACCATCAATCATAATTCATAAGAGACCCAGGTGAATGAAGTTCATGGTGATGGCCGAGGTTGGGAAATTGACAGCTGGACTGGATTGGATTTGATCGGATATCACATGAGCTGATTAATTTGAGATCTCCAATCACCCCATCTCAAATGTATAATATCATGTTGCCCTAATCAGTAACATGATATTCTACTTAACGAACTGGTTTTACTGGCAGTCATTGATTAGAACGGCCACCATTCGCTGGTATGTATTAAACATGCATGTTCAAATTATGTTACATTACATCCGGGACCAATTTGCATCAAACATGTTGAGATGGCCGAGTTGGTCTAAGGCGCCAGATTAAGGTTCTGGTCCGAAAGGGCGTGGGTTCAAATCCCACTCTCAACAATTTATTTCTTTTTACCCTTAAGAAGAGCTGGAATGAGTCTCAATGGCTGCCCCATACCCAGTTCAGCTTCTGTGCTCCCTCTTTTCAGTTTTCAACCAGCTAACAAGACTTCTGCATCAAAGACAAAGAGTAAAAGTTCTTAAGGAATGTGTTGCTGCTGCCTGGCATTGTCATCCATCATCCCACTCATTCATGTACATGGCAAATCCGGGGCCTTGTCCTGTTCAACAAATAACTTTGTTGTGCCACCCTGGCCTCTTTTGGTTCTTTCTCCTTGTGCTTGTTCCTTAACTTCAACATACAGTTCACAATTCCAGATTCTCAAGAATTCATTGCTGTCAGAGGTCGATATAATTTATATTGGCGAGAAAGTTTGAACTTTTGAGAGAAATGGCCGGCCAATGGACTCTATAAGCTTTGATGCTACTTCAGTTGAGTTTAGTGAATCACATTAGAAGGGAAGTTTTCATATCACGATGAGCCCGTGCATAGGGGCAGTCTTGTTGTACTTACGAGAAGCAAAATAATAGAATGTTTGCGGGAGAAAAGAGCATTGTTCTAGGCAAAAAGTTTCAATTACCCACTAGGCCACTATAATTAATTTATCTATTTATAAGAACGAGATTTGCCTCTATTATTGGCGTGATTCTAACCCATTATCAACACAACATATTGAACACCCATCCCAGGATTCAAGTCTTAAACAGAAGAAAAGAAACCTTCAATCAAAACATGCCTTAGCTCGTGTCACGCATTTGGAAGTGAGTTCATTTTGGTGTCTCAAGCTTTGGCGGATTGATCCTTCATGCTTGAAGGTCATGCAAAATAAGTTTTAAGGGACCAGAGAACAATGATATTTGAGAATTATTTTCATAGTTCCGAATTCATAATGTTGTGATTGTCGTTGATGTTTCCACGCTAAACAAAACCTTGATCTACAGTTCGTCACTATAAGGCCAGTTTGGTGACGAAAAAGGCTTTACCCAATGGCTCGACATTGACTTTCCATGCGTTAGATAAGTCTTATGAAGCTATTTTGGTTATAAGTTTTGTGTTTAATCACACACTGTAGATGCATTGTTGTCACAAATGGGACAACGTCTCCATAAAGCTTGAAAACAGCACCACATAAGAACAATCAAAAGCCACCCATAATTTTGTTTGCGATCGTTAAAGTATACATTAACTTTCCTAACAATAACTATTTCGACATTTAACGTACCGTGGGGGGTTTCGGTCCTGCGAATCCGGCCAAGAACGACCCATCGATGTTGCCGGCCACTTCCCCTAATCTCTCCTTTCTCACTAGGCCACACCATTTCTCACCATGAAGCTCTCTTCTTTTCTTTCATCCACAAGTCTTCCCAAGTAAACGGAAGAATGGAAATGGAGTTTGGTAAGAGCTTCAGATGTTCTTAAATGCTGCAAGGGAAGGGAAGGAAGTCCTACCACGGCAATTGCCTCCACAGCGAAAATTCAGAGCATCCCTCAACTGGCGGCTATGGAAGGAAACCGCTCCAGGTAGAAAAACAGGGGAAAGAGGGAAATTGATCAAATTGTGGCGGAGAAGAAACAAAATGAGTTCTTTCTGTGGGAAAAGAGGGGACTCTGCAACTTGCCATTGTGGGTTTTGCCGGTTACCTTTACTCGCCATTCTCAAGCCTTCCCCTCAAACTCAACCCCTAATCTCCCATGGCGGCCGCCACCGTGACTTCGAAGCGTCAATGGCTTCCTCAATTCCGATTCCGCATTTCACAAACCACGAATCCCTGCCTCCAATGGAGCAATCGTTCTCGAGCTTCATCCACTCGTTCCCGCAGTATCTAGAAACAGAGCAGGCGGACAGAATCAGAGAAGGAGAGTATTCCCATCTCTCCGTCTCCGATCACGCCTGCCTCGATTACGTCGGCCACGGCCTGTTTTCCCACCGCCAACAGCAAATTCAATCTCCGGACGCCGCCGCCGCGTCGACGTCATCATCTGCCGCCGTTCACTATCCGATTGAGAATCCGTTCTTCGAAATTTCACACAAGTCGGTTAGCCTCAACTTCGAGGTAAAGCACGGGAGCGGCTGCCCGGAATCGGAACTCGAATCCAGAATCGGGAAGAGAATCATGCAGTTTATGAACATCTCCGACGAGGAATACGGCGTCGTCTTCACGGCGAACGAGCCCTCTGCTTTTAAGCTCGTAGCGGACTGCTACCCATTCGCGACGAACCGGAATCTCTTGACGGTGTACGACCACGAAAACGACGCCGTGGAGACGATGACGAAGGCTGCAATGAAGAGAGGAGCTCGCGTCTCGTCAGCGGAATTCTCGTGGCCGGAGTTGAGAATCGAAACGGACAAACTGCAGAGGGAGGTAGTGGGGAAGAAAAAGAGAAAGAAGAAGATTAACGAATTGCAAAACAGAGGGCTTTTCGTTTTCCCGGCGAAATCGAGAGTGACCGGCGCTAGCTATTCGTATCTGTGGATGAATCTAGCT